TATAATATTTAGGTAAACAAAATTAATAATATTATTGTTCTAGGTACAACTCAGCTTGAAGTGATAACGTAAATATATATACAAGAGTGATTCTCATAAATTGTGTATTTGCCAACTAGTCAAATTCAATACTTTTTTCGAACTGTCAAAAACGACAGTTTTCTATGAATTTTGTACGAGATTGTGTAGGTATTGTGACGTCACGTTTTTTAGCATCAAACAGCATAAGTATTTATTTCTTAAGAATGTGCTGGAAAAATACTAAAATTAAGCTGGTCATAAAATTAATTAACGAAAGTGTGATTATTTTTTTATATTCGAAATAATTTATTTTTGATTAAGGAAAGTACCCAATTAATAGAACTTACCTAGATAAGATTTTTAAACATAGGTCGGTAAACGAGACAACATATCACCTGATGGTAAGCAATCAGCACCGCCCTTAAACACCTACAACACCCTAGGACTTATGCTTCCATCAACAGCCTATAAGTGGCCACTGCTGATTATAGGCCTCTTTTGACACGTCAAACGTTCGAGAATTCAACAGTACCGTCTAAAGAGGTTATCATCATCAACAGACTATAAGTACCCACTGCTGAGCAAAGCCTCTTCTCATACGGATAAGATTTGAGTATTAACCACCGCGCTTGCTCAATGCGGGTTTGCAATTTCGACTTGTAATTAGAAATTATAAGTCCACCAGGTTTCCTCACGATGTTTTCCTTAACCGTTTGTCAGTGGTGTCTAAATAATCTTAGAAAGTGCATATAACTTAGAAAAAGTCACATTGGTACTTGCTGTTGTTGTCGAAACCACGTCCCCATGCTTGAGAAGTGTACTCCGGGCGTCAGGGATCACGATACGACCTCCGGCCGGCCGGCAGACGGCGAGCATGGGTGGCTCCCCGCCCGACCAGAACCAGACCCGAGCGTATGGCGCGTCGCGTTCCGCTTGCCTTGCCAAAGAGCCATCAGATCACCACGGGTCCTAATAGGGCTGATACCGATACGGAGCCGCGGTGAACGTAAAAGGTTACTGGGGCTCCAAGTGCAGGAGTAGGAACAGGGTGGTATTTAGTCAGTAAGAGTCTGACACTCCCTTCCGTCTCACCCAGGCTGTAAAAGTCATTCGATGATGATGATGATGATGATGAAGGGAGGAATAAAAAAAGTAAACGGCGCCGCTCATGGACAACCACATAACTAGAGTTTGTGAGGATTTGAGGATTTGGGGATTAGCGATACGAAGGAAGGGGATAATTGGATCTCCAGTAACCTAACATACTCGGCTAAACACAACGCAAGTGCTGTTTCATGATGGTTTTCTGCTCGGCCATGGTATGACTGATGATGATATATCGGTCCGGTCAAACTGGCCCATTATTATTTTTTATGGCATAAACCGGTAAACTGAGCAGACGGATCACCTGATGGTAAGCTATCGGCGTCGCCCACGGACACCTGGAACACTGGAGTTTGAGGATCGTTGGGGATTCATGAATTGGGGAGATTGGGGAAGGGGAGGGTAATTGGGCTTCCGGTAACCTCACTCACACGACGAAACATAATGCAAGCGTTGCTTCACGTCGGTGTTCCGTGGTATCACTCCGGTCGAGCCGGCCCATTCGTGCCGAAACATGGCTCTCCCACACTTGAATGCTCAGTGAGAAACAGCTAGGATACCACGACATTAGACCGTGCAGCACTGTTGTTCCTAAGTTTCTTAGACCTGCTTACATCTGCAAGAAAACCGAAAACGCAAACTGAAAACCAGTTTAGGATACTTACTGTGCCCAGCTTAAACTGAGTTGGCGGGCCCTTTCGTCGTGAACATGCTGCTCTTTTATTTTTCATTTTTATAATGTTTTTGTTGCTTTTATTGTTTTTTGCTGGTGTTTTTTTTTAAATGTTTTTTTATGTTCTTATTGTTTTTTTTTCTTTTCCAATATTCTTTCGTGTGTTTATATTCGGTGGTCCATGCCTGGTGGCGATTTATTATATTTTTCTTTCTCTTTCTTTTCTTTCTTTCAAGAGTAGAGCCGGTGACAAATGCATAGAATCTACCGCGAACACACGGCGTGGTTTTTTAAATTAGTCATTGTAATTTGTAATTGCAGAATGACACATATTAGGTACCTATTGACTGAAGTAGTTCTACAGTTGTGTCGAGTGGATAACCTATGGACCTTTGGTATATATTGTCAAATACGGATTAAATTGTAAGTAATATTGTTCAATTGAATGTTAGTTTGTTTGTTGTTCTTTTTTATATGTAAACTATAATATAAAATCACACCTTTTATCTCCGAAGAGGTAGGCAGAGGTGCATATTACGGCACTTAATGCCACTGTACAATATAACAACCACTTTTCACTATTTTATGTTATGACTCCCACGTAATAGGGAATGAGCCTATTGCCATATACCGGGCACAATTCCAGACTCCGTGCTACTACTGATTTTTTAAACCCAGTAAAACGACAAAGACAAAGTATGTCCGATCCGGGAACCGAACTCGAGACCCCTTGCCCGGCAGTCACTTGCTGCTTGTGGCGCATTACTTAAGCCGCGTGTTACCGGGGCTCCGGTTCGACGTACAGGAGAAGGAACGGGGTTGTTTTTAGTCAGTAAGAGTCTGACACTCCCTCCCGCCTCAATCAGGCGGGAGAAGTCATTCGATGATTTCCCCCCTTAAAAAAATCCATGATTACGAATAATTTTGTAATCCGACGAAAATGTAACACTAATCAATAAACAAATGATTACTTTTGGAAAGCAATATCATGTTTTTAAAATAAAATTAATTTGAAATTAGAATTTTAGGGAAACCAAAATTATTTTGTTTTTATAGAGCCCGCTGTACTTACGGCACTTTCATAGATCTTCTTAATCGTTCTCTTTATTACGGAAGGTCGTGTATAATATGGTGCACGCGTCACTTGATGCACAACCCTCCCCTAAGCGCCCCTACCCCTGGGCCTGCGGACGGCGAGCATGGGTGGCTTGCCGCCCGACCAGAACCAGACCCAAGCGTACGGCGCGTCGCGTTCTGCGCGTGCCTCAAACAGCCATCAGACCACCACAAATGGGGCCCAATAGGGCTGATGCTGATACAGAGTCGCGGAGAACCTAACGGGTAACCGGGGCTCCGGCTCAAAGTGTGGGAGTAGGAACGAGGTGGTTATTAGTTAGTAAGAGTCTGACACTCCCTCCCGCCTCACCCAGGCGGGAGCAGTCATTCGATGATTTTCTCCTCTTAAAAAAAGCGCTCCTGCACCTTGGTCTTTATGGCTTATGGAACTGTCAGGCCGGTCAGGTTTTTTACAGTATCTAGCCAAAAGTCAAGAGAGCAACCACGGGGTCCTTTTCCGTTAACCTGACCAACAACCACACGCTTCTCCAAATTGTTGGGGTTTCATAAGTAAAGACAAATATTTGTAAGATTATCCCTCAATTAAGAGAAAATCCTGGGAGCAAACATATCACTTAAAACTATATTATTAGGTAAATAAGGAAACATACGGTGCAATGCCTAACAAAAATTACAACAAACAAACAGTATTAGGTCATATTAATAAACCACAAATCAAAATTAATAATTCTTAGTATAATAATGACTATTTAGAAAATTAAGCCTAGAAGTCACTAGGGAACAAATTTCGCACAACATGTCAAACAACATGTCAAAAATGTTTTTGTTTTTTTTTGATTTCAGTTTTCTTTTAATGTTATATAAAGTACTTAATTAGCTAGTAAGAATAAGAAATGAGCGCTTCTCGCCGTTAAACGATATGTTTGGCGAGGATCTATAATTATAAGAACAATATGTTAATCCTAAAATTGTACTTTTGTTAATTAATAAATAAATAAAATAAATAAAAATAAACGATACCGGCTGATTTTATCTGACATATACAGGGTGGAATGTTGTTATACCACCTTAAGTATAAAGGAAGTACTCTTTATACTTAAGATTTTAAATTTTACTCAAAGAAAACATTCCTTTGTTTTTGAATAGAAAGAAATCTGCCTTCGAAGATTTTTATTTTAAAATTAGCTTGCCGCTCACGATAATCGAATAAAATCAGTAAAAGTTGCACCTATTTATTGCATCAATTGTTAGGGTCAATAAGGATGAAATCTCTCTAAAAAACTTAATAAATTTAATGAAAGGAAAACAATGAACGATTGATGCTATAACAACACAGGACAGGGTGCAAACTTTGACAGATTTTAGTCGGTTCGATTACTACGAGAGGCAAGCTAATTTTTCAAATTCTTTAAATGCAATTTTGTTTCTTATCTTAATTATTGAGAGAGCTTCCCCTGAAGGTGGCATTACAAAATTCCACCCTCTATATAGCGACAACGCGCGACGTATGTCCACTGCGTCCATGGTGTTGCCAGGCATGTCGACCGAAGTCTGGCAACGTCGCACTACTTCATCCAACGTGGCTGACTACACGTGTGGCAGGATATTTTGTACCCATCTTTTATTTTTAAGGGGGAAAATCATCGAATGACTTCTCCCGCCTGGGTGAGGCGGGAGGGAGTGTCAGACTCATGCTGACTAAAAACCACCCCGTTCCTACTCCTGCCCTTCTAACCGGAGGCCCGGTAACACGGTAAGTCCTCTGCGACTAGTGTATCCTTAGCTTTAGTGTTGAACTTATTTACCTCAATTTAATATGATACAAATTCTGTTCGTGTGTTTGTTGCGCCCTAAAGACCGAACTGCTTAACCGATGTTAATGGAATTTTGTGTAACGATATAAGAATACTGTTTTGTTACTGTCGAGCAAAGGATTAAGGACTAAGGACCCGGGAATCGAACTCGAGACCTCTTGCCCGGCAGTCGCACTTACGACCATTTGGCCAACGAGGCAGTCATAGAGAGTAAACAAAAAAAATATAATTTACAAGCGAATCCATGACTCCACGAGTTGTATAACACAATCAAGTTGTATAAAACCGGTAATGAATAGTAATTGGGCAGCCATATTGAATTAACTGTCAGTTGTCAACGCGCGGTCCTACCGCGCATGCGTGATTGTAGTTGTGGGACCTTATTTTTTTAAACCAAACGTAAGTAAATTTGTTTATTATTAATATTTTTAGATGTTTTAAATTAAATGTTTGTTATTTTTAATCATTGTCAATATTTAATAAGTCTGTAGAATATATTAGTACGTATTTCTTAGGTATTTTATTTTATTGTTTGCGCTTTGAAAGTGATTGTGACCTTTGAGTTTCTTCTCAGTGGCTAGATAAAAATGGCCTTATCTAGTTTATCTACATTTTAACCGATTTTAAAAAAGAGGAGGTTCTCTGTTCGACTTTTATGTATTGTATTGTAATATGTATTGCATGTTTGTCCGCGACAATCTCAAGATTACGTGAACTGATTTTGATGCAATTAGCAAATTCAGAAAATCATCGAATGACTGCTCCCGCCTGGGTGAGGCGGGAGGGAGTGTCAGACTCTTACTGACTAAAAATCACCCTGTTCCTTCTTCTACACAATTGAAGTGAATACAGAGGGAAGACGTCGACTAGTTTCAAGCCATATTAGACGGCTCATATTCATGAGCAACGTAGTAGGTACAGTCGAGTTCTTCGTGAAATATTTACGTCAGCAAGCCGAAAACCATTACAATTAATTTAGTATGTCACACGATATTACCTAATATCAATATTTCATACACATACTTTATTAACGTGTCAATTATGTAATTGATAGAAATCGGTCGAGTACCGGTTTTGTAGACACAATTATAGAACAATAGGCTGCGGTCACCGGTGACCGCTTGGTGTTTGACAGTTTAATCATAAATACATCATTTCGACTGTACAATTCAATAAAATATTAAAAATAATCACATATATGTATATAAATTAAATTTTAGAATTTATAAAATTTTTAAGGAATAAGTAGGCTCTTTTGATGCTAAAAAAAACGTGACGTCACAATACACAATCTCGTACAAAATTCATAGAAGACTCTCGTTTTTGACAGTTCGAAAAAATGTTTGAATTTGACTACTTGGCAAGTACACAATTATGTCTAGTTTTTTAGCTGAATTTCCAGTTATATTAAAAAAAGCACCGAAATAAAAAAAAAAGCACGTATCGGACCCCAGAGGCGTGGATCCTTTGTTTGCGGATCTAATGTAGGATTTTTAATAGCATTCTGGCCTCTCCACTGTCGGTCGAGACTAGAAAACTATACAAAATTATTATTATTATAGGTTTAAGGTGTCGGGTAGACTAATCAGTAATATTAAGTATTAAATGTATTAGGTATAAGTTATTCGTGTACGCAATAATCGGGGTGACATTTTCTCCTGTGAAAAAACCCTGTAAATAAATAAGAAAAAAAATAAAATAAAAAAAGCACGCTGTCTTGTCGAAGTTTGAGTTCAAACGAACATAAAATTATAGCGTTAAGCTTTTTATTATATTACAGCGTAAACAGAAATGCTCGCTGAACATGTTTCATTCACTTTTGCCAATTATACATATGAGAAATCGCCTCGTTGGCCGAGTGGTCGCAAGTGCAACTGCCGGGCGAAGGGTTTCGTGTTCGATTCCCAGGTCGGGCAAAGTATTACTAGGGTTTTTAAAAAGTCCCAGTAATAGCACGGAGTCTGGAATTGTACCCGGTATATGGCAATAGACTCACCTCCTGTTACATGGTACTCGTAACATAAATAGTGAAAAGTGGGTGTTACATTGTGCAGTGACATGATGTACACCTCTGCCTACCCCTTCGGGGATAAAAGGCGTTATGTTATGTAATGTTATATCCGATAATTTAAGCAAGACCTTGGACAGTCATAACCAGTCTATCACACAGTTATAGATTCTAGTTAAAATTGAAACGAAATAGTTTGAAACGTTCAGTTTCAAGTTAACAATAAATATGTTTAGTAGTCGCTATCGTATGGCTAAGGTCAAAGTTTATAAATGATACACAAACAGATTAATCTACATGCTATTATCTATTTAACTGAAATTCTTAATAACTATCATGTATTGGCTTATTAATAAATTAAATAATAAACAACAGTTTACATATGGGAACCACTTATTTTTTAGTCAAATTTCCGTGGTAGTTGGCGACTGGGCTTCACCCAGTTGTGTTTTGCGCCTTTTTTTTTAAGGGGGAGAAGATGCAGCTCCAGGGCAGGGAGTTGAAGGCGTTGGCGATGTCCAGAGACACCACCACTACGACCTTACCCCCAGACACTGCAGTCCCCGTCATGAGGTCCCTAACGCGCATGATGGCGTCCACCGTGGAGCGCCCTCTGCGGAAGCCGAACTGGCCGTCCGACAGGTTCGGCCAAATGTCCGTCAGGTGCGCGACGAGGCGGTTCGAAATGATTGTTTCGAAAACTTTCCCCACCTCGTCGAGCAGCACTATGGGTCGGTACGCGGACGGAGAGTCCGCAGGGCGCGTCTTGCGCCTTTAGGGCCGAAACACAAAAGGCCGCAACGCAGCGCTCGTTCCAGCATAGGAGAGTAATGTCTTCTTAATAACAAATAAGCAATAAGTTCTTCACGATGGTCCATGGCAGAGACACGTCTATCCACAAAAAAAAAATTACGACGAACTGGTTACCCTACTGAACGACAACTTTTTTTTTCACGACGCCTGATGACGACGAGTGATGATGATGGAATGTGTTCCATCCTTATAAAGCAGTCATTAAGTCTTCAAGACGATCTGATAAAGTTCAAAGACTCACAAAACATTTAAGTGTGGGAGACCCATGCTTCGGCACGAATGGGCCAATTTGACTGGAGTGACACCACGGCCGAGCAAAAAACCATCATGAAACAATACTTGCGTTGTGTTTAGTCATCTGTGTTAGGTTACCGGAGACCCAATTATCCTCTTCCTCCATATCGCTAATCTCCAAATCCTAAAATCCCTAACACAAACTTCGGTTATGTGGTTGTCCATGCATGGCGCCGATTGCTTTTTAAGCGGGGAAAACATCATCGAATGGCTTCTCCCACCCTGGGTGAGGCGAGAGGGAGTGTCGCTCTTACTGACTAAAAACCACCCAGTTCCTACTCCTGCACTTCGAGCCGGAGCCCCGGTAACCCATTAAGTTCTTCGGGGTTCCGTATCGGTACCAGCCCTTTTGGGCCCCATCCATGGTGGTCTGATGGCTCTTTATACAGCCTAGGCTGTCGCGAATCTCTCAGGGAAAGGTTTAGGGAGTTAAAAAGTACCGTAAAAGTAAAAACAATAGTTTATTTAAAAAACATAGTGATATACATAATATAAACACGAGAAATAAAGACAAATATGTTGTTCCCACTACTAGACTAAAGAAAATAAGTGGTTCGTTTAGATGTCAGAGTATACGCTTTTACAATAAAATTCCCAGCCATATCCAAAATTTGAGTCTAAATAAATTTAAAAATGTCATTAAAGATAAATTTTATAGTAAAGCTTATTATAAAATAAAAGACTACCTAGATGATAGTCTGGCTTGGGAATAAGCTGCTGTAACGTCCACACAGATCATGTTGACATGTTTGTAACTTATAGTTACATTTCTTTTTTTATATGCAATTTTACATTATTGTTTTAATGTGACATTGTTTTTCATATGTTGTTCTAACTTGACATTTACTTTTTATTTTACAATTGTTAGTGCTAGGACCGTGCGAGACTTTGCCTCACCATTTCTTTTCTAATTACCCATTTTCTGACAGTTTGAGTATTTGTGCGACCCACGCAAATGTTCTTTAGGTTGGTATTGTTCGTCGAATCAGTCAGCCTCACCTGTTAATTGAGCTGACTGTAAACCGACACATGCGTACTGCCTTCAGAACGGGTCCGCTCAAACTGTTGTGGTTCTTTCCTCAAAAGCCCACTACAGAAAGAACTGGCACGGTTCTCACACATAATCTGTTATACATATTGTCTGGACTTTAAAAGAGACAGACCTCTGAGTTTGTTTCGGCATTTCTTCTCAGAGTAGTCAGTTAGGAAATGTCGACCTCATCGTTCGCTTGATAAAATTGACGTGTAAAAGTGCTGCCTTGTAGCCTATTTGCAGAAATAAATTCACTTGTTTCACTTGTTTCACCCTATTGTTTAACTCGTCGAGTACCGGTTTTGTAGACACAATTATAGAACAATAGGTTGCGGTCACCGGTGACCGCTTGGTGTTTGACAGTTTAATCCGGACTTCTAACTTTACGTCTGCAAAAATTCAAAGCAATCGGTTTAGTAGTTACGGCGTGAAAGCGGAACAAACAAACAGACTCACTTTCCGATTTATAATATTAATAAGTAAGGATTATGTATCTTAAAAAAACCTACATTTGTTTAGTAAAGTGTCTGACAGACACAATTATCAAATTCTTATTGTTTTTGACGTTCAATAGTTCAATAATTAAAATAAATGATTTTGACTTTGACTTTTACTTTGTCTTTGTGGCGCGCGCCGTAGCCCTGATTATTTACCATCAGGTGATCCGTGTGCTCGTTTACCGGCAAAAAAATACACGTAATGTTATTGTACGCGTTTCAGTTGAGATTCGTCATAGAAATTAAATCAGTTAGAAAAACATTGTTATTCCATAGCTTGAATACTGACTCAGTTAACTGCTAACCTTGACCGATAGTGAGTAATAACAACAAGAAGGTAATAAGGAAATACGTCCGTCGACCTAAGGATTGCTACATACATATACGTACCTACCCATGATGTAATTATGTTATGTATATTTGTTTTCATTTACTTTGTATTTCATTTACTATATTATCAGACTGAGAAAATGCTAAGAATTTAGATTTTTTTTTAAATAGGTGCAATGTTTCTTGCTCGTTCTTTTCCATGCGAATATAAATAGATAAATCTATTTCGTATTCGTCCCGCGGCAAAACAACTGGCTATAAGGAGTACTATCGATGTATCGAGAATATAGAATAGAATTTAGTTTTGTAGGGGAGGCATCGCACGTGCTTTCTGATGAGTAATACCTCTCAGGAATTGCATGGCGTGATGTTATGATTCTATGAATTTGTATGTACTACTTTCAAAGTGTGTTTTTTGCAATAGTTCACCAGTTATTCTTTGTTTTAACCATTTTATTTATGTGTAAAACTATTGTATTACCAAGGCAGAATCACTTTACTTACTTCAGGGCTAAAATGAAATAGATTTCACGGTGTAGTTTTGTAGGTAGTTCACAGTGAAACAGATGGAATATTCTATGGTTAAAAAACGTCTAAACAAATAAATATTTCCTTTGTATTATTTTGGTCTGGGTTTAACCTCGCGCCAATCATGATTAAACGAATAATAAAGTTTAAGGAAAAAAATAACATAATGTAAGTAGTTGATCTTGTTCATAAATAACCAGTATAAACTGAACGTTAAATGTGCGGAAAGATGATGCGACGCGACACCAGGATAAACTGGTTTTGTATAGATTGATATGTGGCCGTGTGTACGTAGATTTCAATCTAACTCTATTAAAGTCATCTTTACCACGACGAAAACTTAATTTAAAACTTATCTCTAAGGTCATCAAAGACTATTATTCCTTTTCACATCGTTGCTCAAGTCTGTACATATTGCCCGAGCGTACGGGGCGTCGCGTTCCGCGCGCACCTCAAGGAGCGATCAGACCACCACAGATGGGGCCCAACAGGGCTGATGTCGATACGGAGCCCCGGAAGACTTAACGGGTTGCCGGGGCTCCGGCTCGAAGTGCAGGAGTAGGAACGGTGTGGTTTTTAGTCAGTAAGAGTCTGACACTCCCTCTCGCCTCACCCGGGCGGGAGAAGTCATTCGATGATATTCCTCCCCAAAAAAAAAACTGTACATATTGCCCAACCACAACCAGATCGGTTTCGATTGTGAAAGGGGTAAATCATCCAATGACTTCTCTCGCCCGTAACAGTCTGACACTCTCTCTCGATGAGCATTTAGTCAGCTAAATGCCACCACGTTCCTATTCCTACACTACGAGTCGGAGCCCTGGTAACCCGTACAGTCCTCTGCGGCACCATATCGGAATCAGCCCTATTGGGCCCCATCTGTGCGCAGTACCTATGCGCAGAATGCGATGCGCCGTACGCTCGGTTCGAGCGGCGAGTCACCTGTACTCGCCTTCAACAGTAGCCGGAGATCGTCTCGCGATCCCGGACGCCCAGAGTGTCCCTCACGACGGCTGGGGCGTGAGGAGCTTCATTCCCTCATGCGCCCTGCCGCCTCCTTAGCTAGCATGACTGCTTCGCAGAAGGAAGAGACGGCATCCCAGTCCTCCTCGCTCCGCACCATAGTCTGAACTAGAGCCGGATGCGAGAGATCGCCGTCGTCGGTCACATCCCTGAGAACACGGCGGTGCTCAGCCCACGCAGGGCACACCGCCACCGTATACTCCACCGTGTCCTCCGAATCGTGTTACTCTTAAGATCAAAATTAACAGTTATGTATCTTGTTACAGCATGAAACTCCTCGCCATTTTACTGCTGACTATAGCAGCAGTGTCTGCGATCCCCAGGAGTGCGACCAGACCACAGCCCGTCACCGCACACATCACCTCTCTCAGTGACAAGGTTGGTTAAATTACTGAATATGAATTTTAGGACTTATACTTTTAACTCCTTAATCTCTGATTTATCCCCACATCGCCTGACTGTTGGGGTGTGTATCGGCAACCTGAAGCACACTGCACTCAAAGGCAGGTTTACCATATTAATGCTCAATTTGCACTAATAAGGAATTGCAGTTTATTTTAGACTAACACACGTCACACCAACAGCCTATAAATGCCCACTTCTGAGCAAAACCTCAATCATGAATCACAACGCTTGCTCAATGCGGGTTGGCGATTTCAAACTTTTAATTAGAAATTATAAAGTCCAGGTTTCTTTACGATGTTTTCCTTCACCGTTTGTCAGTGGTGTCTAAATAATCTTAGAAAGTAGATATAAACATATAACTCGGAAAAAGTCACATTGGTACTTGCTGTTGGTAGGAGCGAGGAACTCGACTAGTTTTCATCCTCGCTGGAGGCTCATACTCATGAGCGACTCATAACGTCCGCAATGTAGCTTAGAGGTATAAAAAGAAAAAACAAAAATAAATTTACTAGGACAGATTGCATAGCCAAAGCCTAAACTAGTTTGATGTGTAACTAGTATATAAATAAGATTAATAAACCAGCTGGAAGCTAATCTAAATGTCTGTTTATTTAGTAAACATGTCTGCTCCATGTCTTTGATGTAATCGTACCACGGAACGAGGAGATTTTTTTATTAATAGATATAGTAGGTACAGTTAGTTGCAAAAGCATAACATCACTCCTTTTATCCCCGAAGAGGTAGGCAGAGGCAGGTAGGTAGAGTAGGCATTACCTGTTGAAATAATCATCCCTTATCGGAAATAAGGTCTATAATGGAGTTAGTGGAGAGTGGTCACCGGTGACCGCTTGGGGATAAATGGATTGCCACAATGTACAATGTAACACCCACTTTTCACTATTTATGTTATGAGTCCTATGTAATAGAGAGTGAGCCTATTGCCATATACCGGACACAATACCAGACTCCGTGCTACTACTGAGATTTTTTTTCGATAAAACCCATTAATACTTTACTCGACCCGCGAATCGAATCCAAGACCCCTTGCCAGGCAGTCGCACTTGCGACCGCTCGGCCAACGAGGTAGTCCAAATAAGGTGTTACTCACCTAAATATACAGAGAGAAAAAAGTTCTACTAGTTTCGAATCACTGAGGGACTCTTCCTCATGAGTAGCGAGCGCAGTCGTGGCCATATCGCGCACCCGTTACGTGAGTACCTAACTCGTAATAGGATGGTTTCCTAAATTTTATTTTAATGTCCGTCTGGTACATTAATTTAAAACATTAGACACGTATTTTTTCTTTTCTCACAAAATTAAATACTTTCGACGATATACTAATTTGAAATATCGTGTGACGTCACAGCGTGTCACATTTTGTAGCACGTTATGACGTAACGACCTCCCACTCCTTAACCTAGCGCCATTTTATCTAAGTATTGCAACGTAATACGAGAAAATAAAAAAATACGTGTCTAATATTTTTTCATTATCTAACTGACGGACCAATTAGATTTTTAGTTTTGATACCTTGAAAACTACCCAATTATTAGTTTATTCAGTATGTCTCACGATATACAAGGTGTTGTTTAAAAGCCGCGTCATTTTCTAGGAGGTAACTCGGCTATCGATTCTGAGTTCGAATCAGTTCAAAAAATTGTACTTAAATATTTTTCATTTCTCTGTAAATTACGGAAATCCGTAAGCGCGAACTACACGCCGCCGTCTTGTAACTAGTTTTGTAACGCGGCTTAACACATACAAACTCAAACACGTAGTTGATATTATTCCTAATTCCATAAAACTCCAATAAGAAACATTGCTTCCGCTTATTCTGAAATATTGTCGAACTTAAACGATTTATTATAGCCGTATTTTTAACTATTGGCCCGAAACTTTCTTTTACATTGAACCTTTATGACTTCTGTGATATGCCCCCGAGATATGCCACGGTTTCAAAACTACACCTTGTATATTATAAAAACATAGTATCCCCTTATTTTTGCTCTCAATTGTACAAGTGTATTAGTGTACGTACATAAACCATATGGCTACGGCATAGAAAAAATAGTCTATATGGCAACGAATGCAATAAATTACAAGATTATCTTAGTTTAATTAGGTAACTAACTACCTTTTACTGCGGATTTCCTCTTGTAACCCACTTGAAGGGGTTTTTAATGTAAAGCGGTAAACGAGTAGGCGGATCTTCTGATGGTAAGCAATCAGCACCGCCCATGGATAGAAATCTGAAACACCAGAGGCGTTACAAGTGCGCTACCGGCCTTTTGGGGATTGGAGGATTGTGTTGGTTTCGGGGATTAGAGAGACTGGGAAGGGACGGTAATTGGGCCTCGTTATTTGGCTAATGCAAGCGTTGTTTCACGTCGGTTTTCTGCTCGGCCGTGGTATCACTCCGTTCGAGCCGGCCCATTCGTGCCGAAGCATGGCTCTCCCACACTTTTAGGGGTAGTAGTCGGCAGAGGTGCACATTTCGGCACTTAATGCCACTGTACAATGTAACACTCACGTTTCACTATTTATGTTATGAGTCCTATTTAACTCGTCGAGTACCGTCATTATAGACACAATTATAGAACAATAGGTTGCGGTCACCGGTGACCACTTGGTGTTTGACAGTTTAATAGGGGGTGAGCGTATTGCCATATACCGGGCACAATTCCAAAGTCCATGCTACGACTGAGAAATTTTTATAAAAATTCAGTACTTTTAGCATAGGCATGTTATCAGCGTCTCTCTTCCAATTCTTCTGTTTTAATTTTTCAACTCTTATATGTTTATTACTTCCACTGTCACACTTTGATTGTCTTTTTATATTTTATTTATGCTGCATCGTGCCTGATGTTGAATAAATATTTTTTCCTCCTTTCTTTACTTAATCAGAAACGAATTTGATATTCTGGGTGTCTTCAAAGCCTGAGTGAATAAGTTGCTTATGGAACGGCGTGCTCCATCGTAGACCGCATCATCGCTTATAACCAGATCAGAAACATCGGCCCATCAAATATCTATCTATTAAAAAAGAGACTCCTTACCTTAAAAGGAAATCGCACTTGTGAGCACTAGGCCCACGAGGCATTTATAATACCTACATATATAGCAAGATATTATACCCCAGTGAAGTACTTTATCATAGTAGTCTATTGATCCAATACAGTTAGCCATGACCTGCTTCGTCTATAAAGGTCACTGTGCCCCTCGGTGACGTCATATCTAATGGTTATCTTCCCTTTAATGTTGGTATCGAGAATGTCAGGGATAAAGTCTGTTCGAATACTTCCCAGGGTTGGTCAAAGTTTTATTTATTAATCGACTTCAAAAACAGAAGGGGGATCTCCGTTTGACTTGTATATACCTACTAGCTTTTAACGGCTTCGCTCGCGTCACAAAAGGATAAAAAGTAGCCTATGTGACATAGACACACAGCGCCATCTATACCAATGATTTCGTTTTTCCTCGAGAATATCAAATTTTTCCGGGATGAAAAGTACCCTATTATTTAATCCAGACTTCTAACTTTACGTCTCTATTCAAAGCAATCGGTTCAGTAGTTACGGCGTGAAAGCGGAACAAACAAACAAACTCAATTTCCGATTTATAATGTTAGTAAGGATAAGGATGAATGAATTTTTGTACGCGATTATCTTGAGATTGGGTCAACCGATTCTGAGGTACTCCTCCCGCTTAGAAGCGCGCCCATCTAAGTGCTCGCGTTTTATATTTCAAAATTTCTATTAAAAATATTAAAATTTATTTCCTCGAAGCGCTCCGATGATTAACTTTCGGATAGAGACGGGACTCCCGAAGCGCTCCTAGAAGGAGCGCTACGCGGAATACCTCCCGATTTTGATGGTTTTCAGTAAAGTAGTTTAAATGGTTCCGGGTTTATCAAACTGTGACAAATGTTTAGTTCGTTAGTCGGGTCTTATGATACTGGGAAAAAGATTACCCAACAAAAAAAGATATAGGTAGATCCGTGTGGTCATCAGAGACCGCTCTCCACTTCCACTATTATAGACCAGACTACTTTTTTTACTCTCCTTTTTATCTTTTTTTATAAAACTTTGCCCCACACTAGGATTTTCTCCTGCGTCGTGGTTGCGTTTACAAACATACAAGTTCACATACACATGACACCCAGACCCGGAACAACAATATGTGGATCACACAAAGAGTTGCTCCGTGCGGGAATCGAACCCGCGACACGTTGCGTGGCAGCCGGTTGCCGCACCGCAATAACCGTGTTGTCAACTTTTGAATGAACAAATGTATTGTGTATGTTATTATAATCAGACATTTAAATGAAATGAAGAATTTAAATACTTAGGTAATTCTTATTTCTTTTTGTCTAACAGGATGCTAGGAGCAAGGCGAGAGTACACCCAGCTTTTGCTAATGCGGGTCGAGTAGCTGGTGTTGAAGTGTGGAGAATTCAAGTAAGTTTAATAATAATTACTAATTTAGGTTTAACGCCATCTATCGGCGAGTAGCCAAACGAAACAATCCAGATATTAATCATTTTAAAATTAGTTATAAAAAGTTGTGTAATTATTAAAATAAATAAGAATTCGGGACGAAACTATACTTAGCATGTTTTTTTTAAATAAAGTAAACTTACAATGTCTTCCTTTTATTTCTACTCTTACAGGATTTCGATCCCGTCGCAGTTTCTGCGGCTGACTTCGGAAAGTTTTACAAAGGAGACTCTTACATAGTTTTGAGGGTAAGCAGGTTCATAAGTTCTTATTGACTATCAATCACGCTGTGGACAGACGACCTGACTAACGTCGCAAGTCGCTTTTAACCGACCAATGTGGAAGTCACAGGGCGATAATAGTAATATTGTTATGTGAGGCAGTGAAGTGGCCGTCTTATAACATACAT